ATTACTATTAGACATTATGGTTTGACCATTCATACCAGAAGATGAAGGGGAATATTCAACAGTTTTCTTAACTTATTGTGCGTGTTATGCAAGAACTCCAATCGTCAAATTATAATAGGTGACCGAAATTACCGTAACCAATATAAAAAAAAAAGTCTCTACGTTGTTTGGAATTCCAACATAGTCCAATTCCAATAAACTTTTTTCAAAAAATAAAAAATAGAAAAAGAAACTTTCCATTCATGCAGGTCAATGTTTCTTACGAGTAATTTAAAAGAAGGGTGCACAAAAGAAAGAAGAGAGAATGTGCACTCGGAACTTTCCCTATTATTGTATGCATTGCATGAGGAGATGGGCAACTGAGTGGGGCAGCTTCTAGATGTTTGCCAATAATGTCTTCTTCACTGTCAGAAGTCAGAACTAAGGTATTCTGCAACAGTTTAGGTAAAGGACGTTAATTCTTTGCCTTCGGTCAAGTAGTGATGGTGATGACAATTATTGGATGCATCGTACTATCACAAAGGATGAAAGATGAGAACTGCTCACAACGCGGTTCATGGCAAACTTTGAGTGGTTTTTGAGCAACCAGAGTGGACCATCTCTGAGTAAATTTTGGAAGCAGTAAATAATTGAGAAATATTAAATTACTAACAAAGAAAAAAAGAATAACCCGTTTCCTCAGACTTTCTTTTTCGATTCCTAAACTCTAATTAGTTCCTTGGAAAAGATGTTTGTTAATTAGTTAAGCTTCTGCAGTTTCAAGGACAGAAAATTGTTAATTCAGCCCTCAACTTGTGGAAATCCATTTGCGTTGCATTTTTTAATAAAATTTTTTATTATTAGCATTTGTCCGATGAGATTTATATGAGATAAAAGACGAAAAAAAAAGTAATTAGAAAACGTATGCAAGAAAGAATACAAAAGTGATTGTAAATGACGATCAAATAATCTTTTTTCCCTATCCTCTTCATTTGTTAGTATTTGTAGCAAGTAAAACTTTGGGAAGTAAAAAAAAAAAAAATAATAATAATAAAGCTTAGGAAAGTGTAAGACATTTTTTATATTTTGTTTCTTTTGTGTGTTTGTTTAAAAAGTTAGAGAATTTATTCTTATTGATCTTCGTGCATCTTTCTTTCGTCCTACAAAATTTGAAAGATTTCGAAATAAGAGTTTTCACTAAGGATTGCTAGCTTCCTATGTCCTCTAAATTTATTCTTGTTAATCTCATACTACATAGGAAAGTAACTTTTACCCTTTTATTACCTCACATCTTTCTTGGCCTTCACCTTTCCAAATAACTTTCCTTCTTCTATTAAAACGTAGCCTTCATTCAAACACAAGTTGATGAACGATTGCACATCTCACAAGGAAAATTGCAGCATGACTGAATAAGGAAAATTGCGGTATAAGCACAGTTAATATTACGTTATTAGGAATCGTACAAATGCTCTATGAACTTGACACAAAATGAAATATCCATGAGTAACTAAGATTAAGTAACTGAAAAAAAGAAAACCAAGATGAAGTATTTGACCGTGTGTGGCTAGGTGGTGGTTGTTTTAGTAGACTTGCATTTCCCTTAGGACTAGATTAGAAATGTTTGCAAGATTCTCGTGTCCTTGGTTTCTCATGGAAAGTATATTATTCGTAATTCTTCCGAAAATTGTAAGCTTGTCTACTGAGACAGAGATCGAAACAACAAATACCAGGCACGAAGCAATACACAAATACAGCCCTCTTTTGCTGGTAATATTACACAACGGCTGAGCCATTATTCATACAAAAGGTTTGGTACATCGACAAAGACAAGAAGTAGATCTGGCTGCAAATTTCACACTAAAATTCTGCAATTGCAGAGATAGGAGTATACAGAGCTGCGTTCTCCTCCGCCTGCTGCTTCTGCTTCAATTCATGGTAAAACAGGGTATACACCGCAAAAACAAACAGTTTCATCAGGCAATATGGCCAAATCTTCAGAGTACTGATTGCCCCACCAACGAATGCTACTTTCTCAGCCATGGCGAGAGATGCCAAGAGAGCAAAGGTCATATGGATCGCTGCACTGATTAATATCAAAAGCACCATTAGACCAAAACCCTTCAGCTTTTTGCCCTTCATCAGCTCATTGGCTTGGTAGATCGCCTTCAATCCGGAGAAGTTTTCTTCCAGCACGGAAACCACAAGGCTGAGCATCCACAGAGAAAAGACTCCGACATAATAGAGAGCAGCAAAAACCAGCACTGCCAAACTCAGATAATTTGAAACAGAACCTTCAGTCATGACTCCAACAACTCCGACTGTAAAGAACAACAGTGCTGCACTTGCCAAGCTGATGATAACCATCCAAATACTCGTCTTCAAAGGCCTTCTGATTTTTCCCCTCAGACCACACAACATATCTTTTAGGCCCAACTGTTTCGCAGTATGGGCTTCATATGTTGAATGCACAGAAGCTGCAACTGAAAACATCAGAACAACGCACAAGAAAGCCCATTCCACGAATTTGAAAGCGAGGATAAATCGAAGATCTTTGAGAAATGGTTTGTATAAGGCCAGATCAGAATCCGTGAATGAACCATTTTTGGGCAGGAGCTTGGAGTTGGCCACAAAGCTCGATAATACAGGATCTAAAACAAGATGATCGGCAAATTTCATCAGGGAATAGTAGGAAAACATGATGAAGGTGATAAAAAGCACGAGACTCCCATTTTTTATGGTGATTTTGAAGGCTTCCTTTAGCAAAGAAGGCTGGTATTCTCTCTTGATGTAGAGCACTACTGTATTCAACTTTTTCTCCATCGGTATTCCTTGGGAGAGTTATGGGGATATCAGATGTGTGAAGCTTTTTTATAGAGGGATAATATGATTTTAAAGGATTCAATGTGTGACTATGGTAAAGCCTTCTTAACTAAGGTAAGCCTTTTCTGATCATAAACAAAGATAAGCCTTCTCAGGTATCAGTTACCATAGTTAAAGACTTTGTTCCCATCTAGTATTTCTTGGAGAAAAAGCTCAGGTCAACGCTGGAATTTCCAGGAGATTTGTCCCACATTAATTTCATGGAAATTGATATGTTTGTCTGTTTTGGTCCACACGGCAGCGGTTTGCCAAAGGCTGTCCGTTTCAGATTACATATAATTAAACAACCTCTTATTTGGAGGCAACTTGACTGGCTGGTAACTTGGCTTACATTTTTCTTTGAACGGAGCTTTCTAGATAATAAACTAAAAGAAATTGAAAATACAGTAATTAATATGATAATGACCAAGTCACAGATGATATGATACGCACAAATGACAAAACAGATCTGGGGACGGTTAATCCAAAGATGATTTTCGCGAGTAGACTTGACTCAACTCTCAAGGCCGTGTGTGCAATAACATGTTGAGAATCCTTTTAGGAATCATTTTGAGCAAATGAGTTAGTTTTACGTGTGCGCTTTTGATTGGATATATGTTTGAATTACACATGAGCACGAATAAAATAAAATAAAAAATAATAATAAGCATAGTCAAGAAGACAATTAACATCAAATTCATTGTTGAAAGTCACATAATATTACGATATTGAGTGCTCAAAGCTCGGTAAATTGCTTTTGTTATCGACATATTCACAATTTGAAGATTAGTTGTTTGCACAGAAAAATCTAATAATTGACGGATTCAACGGTATGTTTAGTAACAGTCAAATGCAATTTCTTCTATTCATCTCTTTCTAGAGACGTTCGAATTCTCTGGTCCAATAGATCTGTAAACCTAATCCATATAGACAACGTACACCGCCCTCAACACGGTAAAGTGGCCATTCGAACAAAGGACAGTCTTCTGGTGCCTTGGTAGCATCACTGTTTGAAGATGCAAGATTGCTGAAATAGTAAGAATTTATGGAAGTTCGGCAAGATTATTTGTTTGGATATCACATTATTTGCAAAAAAGTTACTTGTTTACGTCACAAACACGTTTTTCAATCAATTTTTTTTTCTTCTCAATTAACTTCATACATCACATCATAATAAATGGTAGAAGAGATTATATGTTATTAAACCCAACCCGACAAGAAATTCGGCAAATGGATTGAGTCAATGGATCACTGGTTGAACCGATGATCATTAATTTAATATTTATAAATATAAATAGCAATTTTAATATACATAAAATATACAATAAAGTGCTTTTAGATACTAATAATTGTACTTAGAAAGATATATAATGAATATATAGAAATTATTAGAAGATTTAATTTCATTTTATCGTACTTTTACATAAATAAACAATATAGTCAAGTATAAAACAAAATTATATCACTTGTTTTAAAAAATATAGCATTAGTTTTTCATTATTTTACTTTTAGTTTAAAAACAAAGTAATTTTCTAGAACTCAAATATTGTCAGTCTAAAATTAAAAGGATTAATTGTAAAATAAAAAAGTAAACAAGTTTATTAAAAAAATATTTAATTATCAAATAAAAATTAAGCAAGTGGTAAAGTTTTATGCACATTTAAATGAAGATCCAATTTATGAATCTTATTAAAAGTGTGTGTGTATATATATATAAATATAGTTTACAATTGTAAAAAAACTAAATGAATAAACTGCATAAATTGAAAAATTGGATGGATTTTCAGTTGAGCCATTGGGTCAAATGGGTTTATTCGCGTTTGATCAGGTCAATTCTTTGTCCGGTCAAATTAGAGACTCCGTTTGATCTTATACCTGGGTCATACGGCAAATATCGTATTCAAAATGTAACCCAGAATCGATTTTCCCTGGATGAGTTCTGTTGCTTTTTTCACTGCCTTAATCCCGTAACAATTTTCTTCCATCACTGAGATCACTATGCTCAAAGCCCAGAAGACCGATGTGTGTAAATAAACGACATTGTAGAAAACAATGCACGCTAAGTAAAAGGTAAAGAAGGCAACAGACCCAAAATACAGACTTCCAGGGCGAGCCAAAGAAAAAAGACAGTAAATGTAGCCCAAATCAAGACCTATGGTACCTTAAAATCCGACTATCAACGCCCTTTTCCAGGATCTCAGTACAAGTAAAATAAAGTCCTTGGTGCTTAATGTCCTTTCAGTATATGAAATGGCAGACACCAGAATGGTTGAAATTATGGAGAAGAGGGAGATGATACAGTAGGCAAGAATCAAAGTAGCACCAACAACTTGCCAGAGGCCGAAATCTTCTTTGAGACGGGCGAGTATGGTCAAGAAATCAGCTCTATTGGTGCTGGTTAAAGGTATGAAAGACTGCCTCATGAGCATGTCGCTTAACATTGATTTGCAGGAGAAATTGAAAACCAAGAAGAAGAGGGAGGAGAAAAGAAGAGCAGGTGTAATGGTTAATGCTATGAGCTTCCCATTTTTGGGGAGAAGTTTGATTGAGTCTTGCAAAACCACCGCAGCAGAAACAAAAGGCTCTAAAACTTTCATTGCCAGCTCTCTTGAAGGTTTCAAGTTTTTTTGGGCAACTTGTAATTTGCTTTTTCTGTAAAAGTTGCACCAGATAGATGAGATATGTGAATTAAGTTGAACAAGTCCCCACGCCATGGACGCTTGAGAGTTGGCACATGGCTTGATCCTGGAAAGGGGGTTGAAGGGCCAACACTCGCTTTCGTAATAAAAGTCCATGATACGAATTAAGAGAGCCTAGTCACGATAAAGAATAGAAGAATAGTAATCAGAATAAAAAAGTCTTTAATTGCAAAGTATTTTACATAAAAAAAAAGGAAAATAAAAAAGGATTCTGTCACCTGGTCTACTCAACCCACAATTGCTGACAATCTTAGGTTAAGATTTCGAACTTGCCCGAAGAGTTTTCTTCTTTAATAAATGAGCGCGATGTAGTATATGTTGTAATTATTAGTTGCCGCATGCAGTTAAAGATTGTAGACAATAAGAACTTTTCCTGCAAATTCATATTGACTTGGCCTTATTTCTGTACAGTTACAATAGTAAAAAAGTGATTCTATTTTCCACCCTTCAACTATATTTAAATTCTCATTTTGGTCCTTAAATTTTAAAGTAGGACGCGTGCCTCACATTAAGATAGTTAGAAACTAAAGTGAGAATTCAAGTATAATTGAAAAGCACTGAGCTAAGCTCAGTGGCCACCAGGTTAGAGGGTTCAAACCCCACCTGCAGCAATAAAAATTCAAGGATGGTGTCATAGCACCTCCTTAGTTTAGTCAGGTCTACGTACCTACTTGTTAGGAAAAAAAAAAAAGTATAATTGAAAGGTGTCAAGTGAAATTAACCCTAGTAAAAATTTTTCGCTCATAAGCCATTGAACACTTTTCAATAAATTAAACAAACTCTACTTCGTGATGCGATATCCAGAGGCTTTTTTTTTTTTTTTTTTTTTGATGGTTTGGTTTACGCACTTGGCCTAAGCATAATAATGTTTGCTCAAGTTGAGGAGATTGAATTTTCTTAAAACTAAACAACGTACAAGAAAATGTGTCATTTTTCTACCGTCGCCGTTGAGCTTGAGGATTATGAATAATTACAAACACTATCCCAAAATCTATTTGTCAAGCTGAAAAGGCTATGTAGGTTTTCCTGTTTCCTGAAACAAGTACCACGTTAATTGAAAAGGATAACTGGACATATAGCAATAAATTCCATAGCAGATTGAATCAAAATGACTGAAGCACAAGAAATAAACAAGGGTGTCCATAATACAACAGCAGAGATGCAACATGTGAAATGTCAACAAAAAGCTTCTGTGTGCTTTTGTGTCCTTTAATTGTATCTGCATCCTATCTTCATAGATGTATCTAGTAGTCAAGAAACATATAAGCAGTCGGCAATGTTATGGCCACGACATGGTCAGCAGGCACCTGACTAAAGATATTTTATTTGCTGTGTTTTCTACGGTATACTCAGCGGTCAAGGCAGAAACAGTCATAATTGTTGACATGTTTTAAACCAAGCAACATTTGAAAATTTATTTAGTAGATTTAGAAATATATTTTTTATTTGGTAACTATAATATTAGGTTTGGTGTCGCAGTTGGTTTAAAAAATAGGTTGAGCCGTGTTTATGTATTATAATTAGAATATGATTTGTGGCTATGTTTCGGGAAATTCCGTTGAGTGATTTTTTGTGCTAACAATAATGACTGAGAAATTAGAGTCTCAAAATTGACATAGAATTATCAGCTTAATAGAAACCAGTTACCAAGCAATGAGCAGAACTTTCTTACCTCAACTACTTTATTACATCATAAAAGCAAGGAAATGTAAAAATCAACAAGGGATGTCTAAATGAATGACAAAGATAATATCATAAAATTACAACAACAGCAGATGAAATCTAGGTTGCAATTCATCTAGGTTGCAGCTTTGCAAGTTGCAAGTCTTGTTCATGTCATGCTCGTATTTATGGCATACCAACATCAGCAAGAGGCGTAGAAGATATTTTAGTATACTCAACTTCCCCTTGTAGTTCAATCTCTTCACCATGCTTCTTCTTGCACTGGAAATATAGGACTGTATACCCCACAAATTGTGACAGTCTTAATAAACACGAGACATTCACAAGAAACAATCCGAAAATTGTCTGATTTACCAGCCATTTGTGTCCTCTAATAATCCTGAATCCTTGAAATACAACCACAGATAGCAGAGCAAACATCATATTCAGAACGAATCCCTGAATCTTCATTCCCTGAATCAGATCCCCCGCTTTTCCCAGTGCCTGAATCCCGTAACAATCTTCTTCAATCACCGAAGTCACTATGCCCAAAATCCAGGTGATCGATAGGTACAGATAAACGATGTAGGCAGCAATTCCCACCAAGTAAATGGTGAAGAAGACCTCCTCCATGGAATTACTAAAGAACATCATGACAGGGCTAGCCACGAACAGAACCAAAAATATATAGCCAATATCAAGAAGAGTTGTGTAAAACCCAGTGATCAACGGCCTTTTCCAGGATCTAAGTACTAGGAGAGCGAAATCCTTGTTGCTTAATGTCCTCTCAGTATGCGAAATGGTGGATACTAGAATTGTCGCAATTATCGACAAGAGGGAGATGATATAGTAGCCAAGAATGAAAGTAAGATCAACAACCAGCATAAGGCCGAAATCTTCTTTGAGATGGGCGAGAATGCTGGAGAATTCTGCGCTGTTGGCGCTGGTAAGAGGTAACATAGACTCCCTCATGAGCATATCGCGAAGTAATGATTTGTAGGAGAAGTTGAAAACCAAGAAGAAGAGGGAGGAAAAGAGAAGAGTCGGTAGAATTGTTAAGGCTACGAGCTTCCCATTCTTCGGAAGAAGTTTAATTGACTCTTGCAAAACCATCACAGCAGCACCAATAGGCTGTAAAAACTCCATTGCTGGTTCTCTTCCAAGGACTAAAAATTTTCTTGACAAACTCTGCTTAGCTTTTGTGACTTGCAAGGCATAAACAACTCTTTCGTCTTCTGGTCGTCGTCTGGCTTTGGGATAGTATTATATACTACTACCAAATTCAAGTAGAATAAGTCCTCCCGCAATGGTTGAGACTTTTTTCGCGGAAAGGGAGTTTAAGTTCCACCCTCGGTTTTATAAGACCGGTGACAACTATGGAGGGAAGACTGGGTGTGATTGAGAATAGGTAATATTCGTCGATAATATTGAGACTGGTTGTAATCAGAACCAGAAAGTCTACACAAAACATTAATATTCGTCGATAAAAGATTGAAATCTTTCATCTCGTTCTATTTGTTTGGGATAAAAATGCTTGGGAACCGTAAAGTATTTTAATACTTAACTTTTGATCTCTCATCTATTTTGAGTCTTAAATTAGTCCCTCAATAATAAAAAAGCGTCTAATTTTGATACTTCAGTCCATTTTCACCATCAGATCTGTCAAAATTTTGCCCCTATATCTATCAACTTAAACGGTGAGGATGACAAAAGGATCAAAATTTAATACCCTTTTTTTTTATTGTTAACGGATGAATTGAAGACTTGAAATAGATAATGAGCCAAAAATCAATAATTAGAATAATTTAGAAACTCTTTAGATAGCTTCTTACCCTATTTGTTTGACAGGGTCTACCCTTCCATGAAACGCAAATCACAAAAAAAAAAAAAATCAAGATACCAACCAATTATGCCTTGCGAGTAGGGCGAGTTAGAATTTCCAACTTTTGTGTAAAGGTCAAGATTGTGCCAAAACCATAGAAGGAGAATTCAATGCTCTGTTTCAAGAGGATATAGAATAATTTCAAAAACCTCCCCTTAGAGTTCTAAAAGTTTCACCGAGTTCCCCAAAGGTTTTCAATATTACACCCCCTATTTTTTTTTCCAAGTAAAATTGCAAAACTTTATTGATAGAGAACTGAAACATATGCAAAGTAGCATATACTACAACCCCACCGTTGAAGTAACAAAACATTATATGTGTATAATGAATCCCCTAAAATGGCATTAAGTTTTTTTAACAGAAAAATAAAATAAAATAAAAGAAAAACCCATACCCACTAACATTGAACTTCCCTTCCAGGCTTCCACCACCCAAAGCTACTTCCGTCTCTTTCCCTATGCTCTTCCTTTCTTCATTTTGCCCTCCCCCTAATGGTGGTACAAATTTCAATGGGCGTTGAAGTAGCTAGCTCAATGGTCAGTAGCACGCTGAGGCACAAGGATTAAATCAGCTCATGTCATCTCATTTACAAGCTGAGCTATCAAGAATGCCCTGTTTCATTCCAATTTCACATAAGATGCACAAATGTTTGATGATTTTTCCTCTCCAACATATATTAGGTACGTAGAAAAGTCAGCCTACTGTATGATTAGAGACATTATGCACAGCTTACAATCTGGAAACATAATAATGTTCACCACTGCCAGAAGTTCGTCTCACTTCCAGGTTCCAGCCACTCAGTTGGCCGCAAGATGCTGCCTGGGAAAATTAGTCTAAATTCAGCAACCACCGTCAACAAAATAACACACCATACCATGCAGCAAGAACAGGCATAAACTACTCTAGTACTCTTGCCTCCTCAAATATTATCAAGAGGTGATCCGGTGATTATTTCCGAACTCTGGAGAACAAATTATTATCACCAATTTGTCATTCAAAATAAACCATCATTAGCAACCTTTGCTGACACTCCAGTTCTGTTTCTCTGCTTCGCTGAGTCACTTGCACTTCCCTGTCACCCTAAGGGCACCAATTTATGGTCGACAATTTTTAAGCTCCCACCAGACTGGGACTTCATTTTTAATAAACTACATGATGCCAAAACAGTACTTAGAACATAGTAATTAAAAGTACCTGATCTAACCAACACCTAGAATACAAACTAACCACAGAATATTCGAAGCACCTCCGGACCTACTGTCAGATAATTGACATGAGCCACTGGAACAGAAAAGGGACCAGAATTCAGTTCATTCATATGGTCAATTTTGGTGTTAATTGTAATAAACCTCTCGGTTTAACACTTTAACCTCCTTTACCTAAAATTGATCAAATATAATTTTTTTTTGTACCTTCAATAAATTGCAAGAGTTGTAAAACACTAAAAGCATTTAATCAAGCTCAGAACTTG